AAACCTCTGTCACATGTGTCACTGGTGAAGATTTTCTCCAATTCTGTGGGTTTTCTCTTCACTTCCTTGGTTGCTTCTTTTGATGCACAAAAACTTTTTGCTTTAATGAGGTCCCATTTGTTGATTCTTGACCTTGGTTCGTGAGCAATTGATTTCTAAAGTTTCAGAGTTTCAGGTTTCACATTGAGGTCTTTGATCCATTTAGAGTTGACTTTTGTGCATGGTGAAAGATAAGGGTCTAGTTTCATTTTTCTACAGTAGGAGATCCAGTTTTGCCAGCACCATTTGTTGAAGATGCTGTCTTTCCTCCATTGTGTGTTCTTGGCACCTTTGTCGAATATCAGGTGGATGAAATTGTGTGTCCTCATACTTGAGTCTTCAGTTATGTTCCATTGATCTATGTGTCTATTTTTGTGCCAGTACCATGCTGTTTCAATGACTATAGCTCTGTAATACAGTTTAAAATCTGGTATAGTAATCCCTCCAGCATTGCTCCTAGTACTCAGGGTTGCTTTGGCTATCTAAGGTCTTTTGTAGTTCCGTATGAATCTTAGGATGGTTTTTTTCCAATTCTGTGAAAAATGTCATGGGGATTCTGATTGGCATTGCATTGAATCTATAATTGGCTTTTGGTAGGATGGTCATTTTCACAATATTAATTCTTCCAATCCATGAGCATGGGAGGTCCTTCCATCTTCTGATGTCTTCCTCAATCTCTTTCTTTGAAGATTTAAAATTTTCATTGTAGGGGTCTTTAATGTATTTGGTTGGGTTTATTCCAAGATATTTTAAATTTTTTGCAGCTATTGTGAAGGGGAGTGTTTCCATGTACTCTTTCTCTGATTGCTTGTTATTGGTATATAGAAAGGCTTTTACAGATTAATTTTGCAACCTGCCACTTAACTGAACATGTTAATAATTTCTAGAAGTTTTCTGGTGTAATTTTTGGCATCTCTTAGATATAATATCATCTGCAAAAAGGGATAATTTGATCTCTTCCAACTATTACTCCTTTAATTTCCTTCTCTTGTCTTACTGCTCTTGCAAGAGTTTCAAACACTATGTTAAAGAGGAGTGGAGATAGTGGACAGCCTTGTCTGGTTCCTGATTTCAATGGGAATGCTTCCAGTTTTTCTCCACTTAGAATGATGTTGGCTGTGGGTTCGTTGTATGTGGCTTT